CGGCCGCTGCCGCCGCCGCCGCCGCCATCTCTGCCGCCTCCGCCGCCGCTGACGCCGCCGCCGCCTCCGCCGCCGCCTCCGCCTCGTGCGCCGTCTGCAGCTGCCGCAGGAGCGCAGACTCTCGCGCCGCCGCCTCCTTGCGGACCTCCGCCAACGCCCCCTCCGCCAACGCCCCCTCCGCCCTCGCCGCCGCCTCCGCGCGCCGCGCCGCCACCAGCTCCGCCTCCGCCTCCGCCTCCGCCTCCTTGCGGCTCGCCTCCCGCTGCTCCGCCGCCGCCGCCTTGGCCGCAGCCTCGTCCGCCCGCGAGGCGAGGCGCGTGAGCTGCTGCTGCTGCTCGCTGCGGAGCGCATCGAGCTGGCGCGAGTACTGCGCCGTCGCCGCCCGCAGCTCGGCCTTGGTCTCGCTGTCGAGCGCCTCGGCGGCGATGGCGCGCGCCTCGGCGCTGCACCGCGCGGCCCTCTCCGACTCTAGCTGGCGTGCGAGCGCACCCACCGCCTCGGACAGCTGCTGCTGCTGCGGCGGCGGCGGCTGCTGCTGCGGCGGCGGCGGCGGCGGCTGAGACTGCTGCGGCAGCGGCGGCAGAGACGGCAGAGACGGCTGCGGCGGCGGCCGGTGCTGCAGGTGCTGCTGCTGCTGCAGGTGCTGGTGCTCTGCGAGGTGTGCGGACTCGTCCTCTTCCGCGCCAGCGCCGCCTGCCGTGGGCGCGGCCGAGGAGGCAGCCGGTCCCTCCGCTGCACCCGCCTCGCCGGCACGCAGCGCCTCCAGCGCCTCCTCCAGCTCGAGCCGCAGAGCGGAAGCCGCAGTCTCTCCTGCCTCTGCCGCCTGCGGCTCTGCCGCCGCGCCGCCGCCGGCCGTGTCGGGCGGTGGACCAGCATAGTGAGGCGTCATCGAGGTCAGTGCCCGCGTCGGGGCTGCCAGTACCTCCGGCCGCCCCGGCGGATCCGCTGGGCGGTGGTGCGCCGCGTCGCCAGGGCCGGCCAGCTGCAGCTGAGCGAGCCGCTTGCGGAGGTCGCCAGTCTCGACGCGGTAGGCCTCGACGAGGCTGGTCGCCTTGGCCGCCACCGTCGTCGCTTGCGCCAGGGCCGCGTCCCTGCGAGCCGCCTCACGCTCGGCGATGGCCCTGTGCGCCCGCACCCGCTCGGCGCGCTCATTCTCCATCCGCAGCCGCTCGACATTGGTTGTGCGGAGCTTGGCGAGGCGCACGTTCATGGTCGCGGACATGCGCTGGAGCGAGGACACCGCATCAGTGGTCGAGACTGCTGAGGCACTATCCAACCTTGTCATCAAGGTGTCATGAGCAATGCAGTGCACACTCAAGCTCACCACCCAGCACAACCGCCCCCATGACGGAGCCCGTTTTTCTTTCCTGCTAGCAGAGATCGATCTCGGAGCAGGTCGCCTTCGTGCGCGTGGAGGAGGAGAGTCGGCAGCTCTACTGCTAGTGACGCGCGCGCGCGGCGCCGTGCGGTGAGACGCGCCCACCCACTCCTCTAGCGTTCCCTCGCCGCTTCTTCTGCACGGCAGCCCTCTCCGGCGGCGTGCTGCCGCTACCACAATGTTTTTCTTTCGCTTCCGACCCACGACTGTCGGGGCTTGTCCCGTGACCCAGTGACCTCTGTGGCTCTCTGTGGCCTCTCTTTGCAATATGCCATCCGATGGCCAGCCTCGCGCCTTCGTGCTCGCGGAGCACCCTCAGCACGGATTGCTTCTGCTACGCTCGCCTGGCAAGCCCAAAAAGGGAAAGCCGGCGCACTACCAGCTGCCCGGCGGCCGCGTCGATGTGACGGATGCCTCGCCTGCTGCCGCAGCGGCGAGGGAGCTGCTCGAGGAGACCGGGCTTCGGGTCTTGCCGGCGCGGCTCGTGCGGATACGGGTGGATGGAGTCGGCCAACGCAGCTACTTCCACCTCCAGCTCGCCGACGCCGATGCGGCGTCGGTGCTGGGAGGAGACACCGCCCCGCTGTCCGGCGAGGAGTGGCGTCTTGCACTTTCGCACGAGCACGACGCCTACTACTTTGAGCCGCACCTCGACGAGGCGGCCAACGCGGTCGCGCTCCACAGCGGCGGCAAGAACAGCCTCGCCGTCCAAGTGCTCTGGCAGAGCCGGGGACGGCCGGGAGGGGCCGTGAAGACACCGCCGTTCCCAGACCTGATCAAGAAGTTTTGCTGCCTTCCTGAGTGAGTACCGCCTCGCCGCCTTGTACACTTGCGTCTTAGTTTTCTCTCCTTCGCGGTGCTTCTCTCGCGTGAGAGCTCTCTGTCTCTCTCCGCCCTCTGATATCGTGTTCGCAGTTCGGAAGCGGTGTTGCGTGTTTTCGGCCTCCCACCGTACGGTACCTACGGTCTACGTCGCGAGAGATGGTTGACGGTGTGTTTCTCGCTCCAGTGCGGTCTATTTCACATGCATGAGGTACAACAATATAGAATATTAAAAGTAAAGTACAAAAAACGCGCACAAAAAACACACTCCTCACTCCCCTCTCCCGCCCCCCAGGCCTAGGCGTACGCGATGCGCGGCGGCGTCGCCGTCGGCGCGCGGCCCCGGCCGACGCGGCCCAGCTCCGGCATACGCCCGCTGACGCGGCGTGTCCATATGCACGGTGTGCCCGTATGCGCGCGCGTCTACACGTACTACGTAGTCGAGATGAAGGGAAGGTGCTCGAGCGCTCACCCTCACGTCATCTCGGTGCCCGACGACGCCCTGCGGGCCGGGGGCGGCCCTCTCGCCGCGCCAGCAGGAGACGCATTGCGCTCGCGCACAAGAGCGACCACCTGATTAGGGTGCCCACAGGACCCAAAAAAAGAAAAGAAAAAAGAAATGGGCCACCCCCGATCGCAGCACTTCGTGTTGGAGAGTCGAGATATTGAGAGTGTGACTAGGAGGGAGGGACGCTGGGGATTCTCAAAGGTATACCCTTGGAATGGCCGGATCCAGCCTTAAAAGTACGAGATCGCGCGCGCTTCACGCACAGCACCGCCTGTTCTCCGCGGCTGTGTGACGACGCGTGCCGTGTACCAGCAGAGTTGGGCGCGCGCGGCGCGACGGCGCCCGCGAGGGAAGGCGCGGGTGCAGCGGCCGCCGGCGGCCGTACCGCCCGCCAGCCGGCGCAGCAGCGGCCAGCGCAGCGGCCGCCGGCGCAGCAGCCAGAGCAGCCGGTACGCGCCTTGCGAGGCGAGTACTGCCGTCCGGCAGCCTTGAGGCGGCCGGGCGGCAGTACTCGTTCGAACTTTGCGAGCCGTGCGCGCGCCGAGGCGCCCGCGGCGCGCGCCCGCCCGGCTGCCAGTAGGAGGCGGCGCAATATGGCCTATAGTACAGCCCTTAGGAGGAGGAAGAGGCTGGCTGGCAGTGCTGTATGCCGCCGAGGGGCAGTTTTGGGGTGCTGACCCACGCCCAGGGGGCTGCAGAACGCGTCCGCAACCGGGACAACCCGCCCCCCCAGCCGAGGCCGGTCGAAGCCCACTTGGGCACAGCCATGAGGAGTCCTCTTGGTGCTCTTGGCGGCCGTTGGAATGGCGAGCGCGCGCCGATGGGGGGGGGGGGGGGGTCTTGCTTGCTCCACACCGAGCGCCATCGGTCCGGACCGGCGTGCCCACCGAGGGGTGGCTTGCACAAGGTCTGAGCCGCGGGCGCTCGGCGCCAAGTGCAGTGTCACGCTCGCACTGGAGCGGGTCACAATGGGAAACCCTCGTTTCCTATGTGCTCGGTCCCCCAACGGAAGAGGCCTCTCTCCTATTGGAACAATCCAACATCAGATTTGCCTCGTGCGTCCCTTTTTGAGGCGGAAAGCTATTTTCTTTTGGGTCCTGTGGGCACCCTACCCTGATCCAGGCCGGTGAGGCACTGCCTGAGGCGGCCCCCGCCCAGCTGCGCTTGCATCGGCTTCTCGGACGGCGCCACTGCCCCCGCCTTGCCGCTGGGAGCCTCCCCCTCCCCCTCCTCGCGCGAGGGTGCCTGGCTGACCCGCGGGGGAGCCACCGTGGAGGAGCGCACCGTCGAGGAGGCGCTCGACGACGCGGCGGCCGACGAATCCGCCTTACCGCTGACGGCCTCGACGGTGGGGCCGAGGATGGTGTTGCCGCTGACCGACGAGAGGCGGTAGTGCGCCGCAAAATTTCTTTTCGCTGCTGTTCGACATTGCGTTCAGGTAATTCTTTTCCCTTCTTCGCGCACGACGCTCCTCTCCCTCGCCCGTCGAGCAACACCGAGGACGCCGTCGCCTCGGACTGCCGATGTGGGTGCTCCTCGCCGTCGCGCCGCCTCGTGCGCCTCGCGGGCCTGCCACCATGAGCCTCGCACCGGAGCAGAGAGAATGGACTCCGCCTGACGCCGGCGATCGGCCTGAGGCTGCCGAGATGCTCAGCCGCCTAACGCCCGGCACTCTCGCCTATCTGGGCGACGCCGTCTACGAGCAATCTGTGCGCGAGCGGCTGCTCTGGCCTCCGTCGAGGATCGACAGCCTCACTAGCCGCGTGCAGCGCCTCGTGCGGGCAGAGGGGCAGGAGGCGCTCCTGCGCGCGACGGTGGCGGGCTTTGGGCTGAGCGAGGAGGAGCAGGAGTGGGTGCGCCGCGGCCGGAACTCCGCCGGCCGTGGGCCTCGCCGGCTGCACCCGAGCGTGTACCGTGCGGCCACCGGCTTCGAGTGCCTCGTCGGCTACCTGCACATCACGGACCGCGACCGCTGCGCGGCGCTCCTCGAGTTTTGCCACGGGCTCGGCGAGCCGCCCGAGGAGGAGACTCTTGACGAGGAGGGCGGCCCGTGAGTGGTGTGTGTTTCTCCGCGGGTCTGTTTTTTTTCTGTCTTACGATTGTGTGTTTCTCGCCACATTCCGTTGACTACGTGCCTCCCCGCGTTCCTTGTGGCGTCCAATTTTTTCTTTTGCGAGATGGACCGAAAGACGGCGGCCCAGTGTCCTCCCCGATCCCCTGACACCCTCGGCGTTCATGACACGGTCCTCGACGACACCTTCGGCGTTCATGCCACAGGACTCGACGCTGTCGGCCGCACCAGCGCCCGCGCCTACTCCCTCTCGAAAGCGCAAGCCGCCCGAGACGTGCTGGGGCCAGGAGCTTGCCGGCGGCGGGACGCATGCAAAGGCGGAACCGCTGTCTGCCGCCTTTCGGCAGAGATTCTGTGCCGCCTGCCAGAGGGACGGCCTCCTCATCCCCGCCTCGCGCGTGCGCGTCCATAACCCGCTGGAGTCGGCGGCGCCGTCCAACCAACACGGTGGTGGCGTCTGGAACACGGCGGAGGGTGGGGCGCCGTCGCCCCCGTGGCCAGCGCATCGCGTCGTCAATCAGACGGCGGGATGCGTCGGACCAAAGCTGGTGCTGCTGCGCGACCCGACGACCGCGACCATTCCGGGCCTGCTTGCTGTGCCCTGCGCTCCCGGGAGCGTGATCGCCTTCCGGGTGGGTCGCACGCTGCAGCCGACTGCGCTGCCGCCGCTGCTCCTCAAGTCGCTGCCACCGCTGACGTCGGACCCGCCGCGGCCGCCTCTGCCGCCGCAGCCGCTCGAGTCTTCGGGCCTTCCGCCGCAGCCGCCGCCGCTCGCGCCCCCTTCCTTCCAGGCCTCTTCGTCGGCGTCGTCTTCGCCGCCCGCGAGCTGGGAGCTCGACTTTGGGAAGTGGAAGGCAGCCGGTGCCACAAGCGCGCGGCGAGAGAGGGGGGCGGGGTGCCCCGCCGCAGCGGCGGGTTGGGGCACTATCTGGCGCAATCTGGCGCAATCTGGCTATCTCATTCTATCTCATTCTATCTCGTTCTATCTCGTGTCGATCTATCTGACAAAGAAATCGGCCAGACTAGGGCTCTGGTGGTAGTGATGAGAGTGGTCTGACCAGCAAGTGTCCTGGTCGAGGCCCTCTGGAGTCTCGTGAGGCGTCCCTCTCTTCCTCGTTTGTAGAGGGATCGTCATCTGGACCCAAAGGTTGGTGCCCAGCAAGTGTGAGTGGTGAGCCGCGTGCACGGCTCTGCTGTACTGGTGATCGCGGGTGAGGCTGTAAAGCCATCCTCAATCCGGGTGCCGTCTCAGACGGCTGTAGGATTGGTATAAGGCGTCGGGCCGAAGCCCGTCAGGCACTCTCTCCCTAACCCTAGCCTTCTCCCGAACCCCAGTGTGTTTTACTGCCTCCGTGCTTTCACACTCGTCCAGTCGTGTCCGTCCAGTGATTGCGGCCGTCCACGACTACGTCGTCCTAAGAACGTATCTACCCCCTTCTGGTGTCGACCGCGCCCCCCGCCGGGGCACGGCCGGACGTGGCAGCGTCAACTGGTCACGACCAGCACTTTGGGGGAGTCCTTTCACGCTATCCCAGACATGCCTGACGACACGCTGGCGGACGACCTCGGAGAGATCCCCGCCAGAGAAGTCTCAATCATCGCAAAAGCCGCTTCTGAAGAAGCCGCAAAGTGGCTCAAGCGAAACAACATCGAGGCGGGCTCCGGCACGCTCGCCTATGCCGGCGCCCTCCTCAAGATCAGCACCTCCAGCGACCAGAGGACGCGGACCGGCATCTTCATTCTCATCGCATCAGGGGGCACCATCTACATCGATCCCCTCTCGAGCAAGGTCATCGCGAGCGACAAGGACGCGCTCGTCAAGCTGCATCAGCAGGCGGCGGAGCACCGCGCGAGCATATCCGAGTACGTCGAGCTCCTCTTCACCAACAAGATCAAGTTGCCCCAACAGTTTGGAGGCCCCGCTACCAGCATTACTCGCACTCTGGTGGAGGACGCCGAGCTCAGCCGGTTCATCTCCACCTCGCACGTTGACAAGCGCGCCCTCGCTGCGATCAACAACGCCGTCTACCAGGCCCTCCTCGACAAGATCGTCGTCGGAGAGCGGCCCCGCGAGGAGATCATGCGCCTCGTCGACGAGCTTTCTAAAGCTCGACCTGCCACCGCAACCATCCTCCTTGTGGCCCTCTAGGGGCGGCGCTGAGGGAGGGTGTAGAGGATGTAGAGTGTAGAGCGCTGTAGAGCTGTAGAGATGTAGAGCGCTCTGGAGCGCTGTAGAGCTGTAGAGCTCTACATCCGCCGCGTGACGAGGCGGGTGCGTTGTAGAGCGATGTAGAGCGCGATTTTGCTGTAGAGTTTGTTGTAGAGGCTCTACAGCCAACCCGCCGGGAAGGCAGTGACTCAAAGAGGTCGAGTCGCACTAATGGGGTGTCTCCGAGCTTACTGGAGCTCTGGTGGACGGCCCTGACTATCCCTGACACTCACAGAGTCACTCTGACGGCACACAACACCCTATAACTGCGTCATGACCAGCCTGCCATACGTCGCCGGTGCCGCATTCGTCGCAGTGCTTCTTTAGCAGGCGGTGGACTGTCGGCTGCGAGGACGGTCGCATTTGCGCGAGGCGAGGCGAGCATTCAGACGCGTTGCATGCGCCATGACTCGCGCCAGCGCGTGTGGGAGCTCCTGGCTGAGCGTTGAGTCCAGGCGAGTTGCGCTGGCCACTATCGCTACGCCGAGCCGAGCTGACGCGCCGAGGCGCCGGCCAGTCGCAGCCGTGAGGCATGCCACAGCAGCAGAGGCACCTGCAACACATTGGGCGGGCAGACAGAAGGCCAGGGTAGCACTGGCAAGTGCAACGCGCCTCATGTCGGAGAGCGACCGTGCCTCGTTCGCCGCTTATGATGTAGAGTTTGTTGTAGAGATTTCACGTTGTAGAGCGCCTCTACATCGCTCTACAACGCACCCGCCTCGTCACGCGGCGGATGTAGAGCTCTACAGCTCTACAGCGCTCTACATCTCTACAGTAGGGGGCCCACAGCGCCCCAAAATCCACCACTGTGGGATTTCGCGCAATCGCTTGACTCTGAAAGCTCGCCATGTACCTTTCTGAGCGCTGTGGTCGCCGCAGATTGGCTCCGACTTGACGGGCGCATGGAGACGTGATGCCTCCATGCGCCCGTCAAGTCGAAATCGATATGCGGCTCGATGGTTTGCCCGAAAAGGTACATGGCGGCGTTTGGCGACAAAACAGCGCTGCGACCGCGAAGTGGCGGTGGACATGCTCCCATGTTGCCGATGCGGCGCCGGAGTGGCCGGCGCTGCTCGCCCGGACCACGACGGCTACTCCGATGCTCCGGGCCGACCCGTCCTACCCGACGGTGGCACTCTTCCACGTCTCGCTCACGCTGAGAAAAAATCTGAAACGGCGTGCAGCAGAGTCGCCGACGAGTCGGTCCGCGTGCCTCCTCGTGTCGCGCACCGTTCTCACCCATCCATAAACTCACTTTGGCCTCACTAAAGCGAAGTCTGAATCCTTAATCCTCAGATTTTAGATTAGGACGCTGTGGGCCCTCTATCTACAGCTCTACAGCGCTCTACACTCTACATCCTCTACACCCTCCCTCAGGGGCGGCGACCCCCCCATCGACAGATGATACGCGCATCTTGAGATAATATGCCTCTAAGATGCGCCCTACTTGGACTGCACACTGTCTTGCCTATGCTCGAGCATCTCTGGATGGTTTTTTCAACTAAGATGCCGGAGCATCCTGGGATGCTCGAATCATCCGAAGATGCTTCGCATCCCAAGATGCTTGGCATTTAATGATTAAAATGCATTTTAAATTATTCTGCAAAGGGGTGTGAACGGAGAGAGCAAACTCCTGGCAGCTCCCACAGCCGAAATGTGCGGCAGCTGCCCGCTCACCTGTGTCACGCCGCCGCGCACGCACCTTGCTATGTGCTCGCGCGAGCTCCCGCCCGAACCTCCAGCTCGGCGTCCCACTGCTTGGGAGCCGATCGCTTTTCCTCGGCGCTCGCGTCGAGCCGAGCTCTCGGCACTCTACGGCGGGCGTCGCTGTGCGGGGCGCCCGTTTCCTGCTGGCCCGAGCGGAAAGCTCCACGCGCCCGCGCGAGCTCCCGGCCGAGCCTCCAGCTCGGCGTCGCACTGCTGAGGAGCAATTTGTCCTCCGTGGGTGCTCTGGAGGAGCGAAGCTCCTTGGCCTGCGCCCGGGGACGTTACAGGAGGGGGGGGGGGCACCCCCCCCTCCTTTACCCGGGGGTTTTTTGGGGGTGGGGGAACAGGCACCCTTGGCCCGGGGGTTTTTCCGGGGGGAAGCCCCCCCCCCCCCCCCCCCCTCGATCTCGCGGCGAGAGCACGAGCGCGCCGTCCTCCGGCGACGCGCCGCCACGCTCTTCCTTAGGTCGTCCTCCGAGATATCGGTGCCGGACCGGCGGGGCGGGGGCGGGGCGGCGTCGGAGCAAGTGTCTCGGCCGTCGGTCGACGGAGCGGCGACCCGCGAGCACGCTTCGTCGGCGCCCGACGAGGGTGGTGCCGCTGTCGCTCTGCCGCGTGCGCAGGCGTGCGCAGGCGTGCCGAGGTCTCGCGACGGCACTCAGCCCGAGCCCCTCCGGGCGCTCGATCGTATGCTCGTGGAGGCGTCGCGCGGCCGCAGTCTTCGCAGCGGCGGCCGCCGCTGCGGTGGATGCGGGCCAGAAAGAAGGCCGCGCGCGCGGCCAGGGGCCAGGGCTGGCTCTGGCTCGGGCGAGGGCGATCCCGGTTGTCCCTCCGCGGGCGCCTCTGGTCATGCCCGCTTGCTCGACGGCTGGGTTGTGCGTGCGCGCGACTCTCGAGTCGTCGGCGAGTAGTGTGCGCGGGCGGTGGGTGCCGTGGAGATTAGGGGAGACGTCGCTTTGAGCTGCGGGTAGCGGGACCGGGAGATGTTGGGAGATACAGACACGGCGGTACGGTGTCTGGAGTAACATCTCAGAGGTTGAGCAGCGCAGGGGGTGTGCACCTGCCCCCCCATCTCCGGTCCAACGAGTAGAAACATGTTTCCAAAAAGCAGCTACGCCCCGACACGACGACGAGACTCACTCCCCTGGTCGCACACGCTCCCCGACACTCGCAGCAAGCAGCAAGGATCGGGCGGGAGAGGAATTAGCTCAGAGAGACACGCACTCACACACTCACACACACACACACACACACACACACACACACACACACACACACACACACACACACACACACACACACACACACACACAGAGAGAGAGAGAGAGAGAGAGAGAGAGAGAGAGAGAGCGAGCGAGCGAGCGAGAGAGCG